CGCGCAAGGGGGGGAGGCCTGGCGACGCTGCGCCCTGCCGGGCGCTTACCGACAGGGCTGGGGGGGCCGAGGCTGCCAGGGAGAAACAGCCACATGCCGGCAAGGATTGATTGACTTCCGGGAGGGGCGGGTCCCAACTGCCGGGACACTTATAACCACAGGGCGAATGGTGGCTTGCGGCTGGGGGCGGGGTAACAGGCTCAGGGCCAATGAGGAGCCCTGCGAGGGGGCAAGTCCCATGAGAGAGAGAGAGAGAGAGAGAGACAGAAGTGCAAGTGCCTCTCTCTCTCTCTCTCTCTCTCTCTCTCTCTCTCTCTCTCATGGGACTTGCCGGAGGGCCGTGGGAGGGCCGCATTTATATAGAGCAGGGAGGGCTGCTCGAGGGCCGGATTAAACCGGGCCGCGGGCCGCAAATGGCCCGCGGGCCGGACTTTGGACATGTCTGGTCTACATCATTAATATTCCTTTTTATTTGGAAGAATTATAATAAACAATTATTCCGTCCATTAGTATTGTACACAGCTGTCAGTTTAATCTATTATAATTCAAGAATCCAATCTCTTAGGGTTAGGTCAGCATCAACTCATAGAGCAAAATGGACATCGCCAACAAATTTGGAGTGCTGTGGTATGGTTAGGAGGGCACTGACTTTTCTAGGCTGTCCTATCTATGTTTTCTGGTAAAATACACGGGAAAATCCCATTGGAGGAAAATTCCACTTAGGGTTAGGGTTAGGTCACCATGAACTCAGACAGCATCACCAACAAATTTGGGGTGCTTGGGTATGGTTAGGAGGGCACTTATTTTTCTAGGCTGCCCTATCTATGTTTTCTGGTAAAATACATGGGAAAATCCCATTGGAGGAAAATTCCAGTTAGGGCTAGGGTTAGGTCACCATGAACTCAGACAGCAAAATGAACATCGCCAACAAATTCGAAGTGCTTGGGTATTGTTAGGAAGGCACTCACTTTTTTAGCCTGCCCTATCTATGTTTCCTGGTAAAATACATGGGAAAATCCCATAGGAGGAAAATTCCAGTTAGGGTTAGGTCACCATGAACTCATAGATCATTGCTAAAAAGTATTTTTTTCCAACATCCATTGTGGAGAATTTTGTCAGGAGAAATTCCTTTGATTTGTAAAGGAAATATGCACATGATCTTACAGGAGAAGAAATGGGTATCACAGATATTCTTAGGCAATTAGTTTCTTCCTTCTGGATTGCACATCTATACTATTTCCATTTCTAAATCTGGTTATACATGCTTATTTCAGTTATGTCCAGACAAAGTTTGGAACATTTTCAAATATTTTATTTCACTTTGATGTATTAAATACTGTAATATATCTTCTTTATCCTAATTTGCATCATTTTTTCCTATTATGTCAAGCAATATTTTTGATAATAAACTTTTTCAGGATGTATATGAGAACGCAGGAAAAATAATAAAGTCAATAATCAGGACCAGAAATTATTCAATGGTATCACTGTGAACATCAGTGGAGTACACAAAGCTTGAGAAATTAAGCTTAGAAGCACCCCTCTTGCATATACTGTGGCCCATTAGAGAAAAATCAGAAGCAGCAAAATTCTAAAACTCTATTTCACCTAATCCATTATCTGCCACAGTGATAGGCACATTTCCCCTTAAAATGCTTACTCACCAGGAAATACAGTCATTGCCAGTAAGCAAAGAAATTTTAAGATGTTAGGATGATGGACCTGAATTAGAGACAAATGTTGAAACACTTTATGCCCCTAAACCCAACAAGGATATCCTTTTGTATAAGAACAGGCTACTAACCACCAAGTCATTGTTGCTCCAGTCAGCAGGAAAGGAAACCTCCTGGACTTTGTGATACAGTCTAGCTATCTGAAAAATATTTGATCCTGGTTTTCCATTGTTCAGGATTGGCTCCACATATTTCCAGAATGTTTCCAGGTCTTTATCTGCTTTTTGCTTCTTTTTGTTTTCAGCTTCTACAATTTGAATTGCATCAGAAGCAGATTAATGTACTACATATTTGTATGACCATTGCGAAAATGTAATATACCTCTGGAATACCTTGGTAAAAAGAAAACCAAGGTTTACTCACTCCTGCTACTAATTTAAGATTCATCTCCCATTACCATTAAACACACTTTAAAAAAAATGTCTTAAGCCCATTTAATGATAAAAGAAAGATGATATAAAGAAAGATGAAGCACTAGAATGCATTCACCTGGAGTACTGCAGTATTTTTTTTGTTTAAAGTGGAGCATAAACTTTCAAAATCTATGCATGGAAACCCAGCTTTATCCCTTCCAGTGAAACAATAGAACATCAGTGTCATCCTATATTTCACCACACTACTGCCACTATGACTACAATACATAACAGACTGTGAAAATTATTTTAAGAAGAGAAAGAAAAATGTAACTGAGGTGCTGGCAAGAGGAAGAAAAAGCCACTATTTTTTGTGGGAGAAGGTGGGGGAGTTATGTTTGCTTAAAATATATGGTTTTTATAGAAATCTGTAGACATAATTACTTCCACAAAAAGGAAAATATTAAGCCATTAGTGAAACACCAGCAGAGAAAATGTTGTATTAGTAGTTTAGTTACAACTGCAGAAATAAATAAACAGATAATAAATAGAAATAAATAAAAATAAGGAAGTAAATAAATAGAAATAGAAAATAGTTAGGACTACAGAAAAAGCCACTGCAATGAGCCTGCCTTCCATTAAGGACCTGTATACTGCACAAGCCAGAAAGAGGGCTGAGAAAATATCTACACATCCCTCACATCCTGGACATGAACTGTTTCAACTTCTCCCCCCAGGACACCACTATAGGGCATTGCATGCTAAAACAACTTTCCCCCATGCCATCACTCTGCTAAACACTTCACTCCCACAACATTGTCTTATGCCTAAAGATATTTACCCATATAGTAGGGCTGTATGACTATTATCTTTCTCTTCTTCTCATCTTTCCTACTACCTTCTTCTATTGGTATCTTATGATTTATCACTTGTTGTTTGTATCTTATGATTTATGATAGTATCTTATGATTACGATCTAAAACATCACTTTGTCATTTGTATATACACTGAGAGCTTATGCACCAGAGACAAATTCCTTGTGTGGCCAATAAAGAATGTTCCAATTAAAGAACATCACCAAAGCTTTGAATTGAGCCTGAAAAAAAATTGGTAAGAAGTGTAAATCTTGCAGGAGACAGTGCCTGCAATCACCTAGCAATGTAACTGCATTCTTGACTAGCTATAATTTTGGAAAAATAATTTCAAGGGAAGCTGCAAGTACTGCTTGTCATCATAATCCAATCTTCAGGGGGCATTACTAACTTATTGCAAACAATATCCTTTCAAATATATATGCACAACTTTCAGCTGCTGGTGACTCCTGAAGGATCAGCAAAGGATATCATGGCCTTACTTGAATTACTTGACTATATTTTCTGTTATTTTACCAATGGATGAGGAGTTAGTAAGATCCTTTACCATTTTTTAGGAGAGGACCTCAGCTATCACTAATGCCTATTCTTTGATCTCTTTAGGACATGCCTCTATCACTAATTTCTATTATTTGTCATTTCCAAGGAAAAAAACCCCAACAATAAGATAAATATTTAAGTCTATAGAAAGATCAATAATAAATACATATCTTTTTAAAATTAATAAATATTCTACTTCAAATATATAAATGTTTGTATTAATTAGTAGCCTACCTTCTGATGCAAGAGATGGTTCTTCCTGCGAAGTAGTTGTTTCTAAGTAGATCCGGAGTGGCTCATAATTGTCAGAAGAAATCTGAATGATGCTTCCAATATTGATGCCCAGATCAGACAGTATAGGTAAAAGTTGAGGATTGTGAAAACCAGTAATTATGAAATAGAACTGAGCACCATCATCTGGTTCGTCATCTGTTTGAAACATCACATAAACCCCATGTTTTGATTAAGATATATGGTTTGGGATAATATCTGAATTGGCATCTTCAGTTGATGGTCAGTTACATGTGTGTATGTGTACATATGTGTGTGTGTATATATATATATACATACAAGTACATATATATATACAGTATATATTCATATATTGCATACATTTATTTTATTTATATGACCATCCATCTTATGTATATGACTTGGGGCAGCTACCAATTTAAAATAAATAAAAAGCAAATAAAAGAAATAACCAAAATTGTAAATAACATATACTGTATAGCATAAAATAGCAACTCACAACATCATGCAGTCAATACAACCAGGAAATGGGCTCATCATATATCTGGCCCCAGGATTGATGGTAAAACTAGGTTTTTAATGCTTTGCAAAAAGCCAGCAAGCAGGGGCAAGTCTGATCTCTGAGAAGAGGACATTCAAGAGGCTTGCTGCCACAAATAGTATGTCACAAAATAATGGCTGGATTTTTATTACAAATCATAGGAAGGTTAGAAAGTAGCATTATCATAGCTGTACAATGATTTTATTTGCACCCATTCACACTTTTCTTTTAATTATAATAAATACCAGATATTACCTGGTAACATATTCAACTGAAATAGCTGATATTATTGTTCAATAGTCATATAGAAAATTTTATCTCTCTAATTGCTGTATGGTTACTTAGAGCACTTATCTCAAAAACCAGAAGCAGCCCTGGTTAAAAACTGAAAAGAAAGTAGGTGGGCTAGAATGGAGAATTAAGTTTAATAAAACTAATCTAAGAATTCATAACTCAAACTGCTGAAAGAGTAGCAATGCTGGGAAGTTTTATTACAATGCAATGCTTGGTGTCCCCCCAAAATATGGTGCAAGAAGCTATGATTATGTTTTCGTTGACTTGTAAACATACTTACACTATACCCAGTGGAAGATAATATAAATGAGTTTTATTGGGATATGGATGCAAGAGCTCAGTAAAGACATTAAATCATTTTTGGTGCTATGCAGTTTACTCAAAACCAAGCCATACTGACTTCAGTCGGGCTACCTCCACATTAAGGTGTGAATAAAATTGCAAGCTTAGGCTATTTTTCAATTCACTGAATATTCTTCTGGTTCACATACTCAGAAATCTCATGATCAAGAGCTATATCTACCATGAACTTCTTGCTTGGACTTTATGGAACAATCTTAAGATGTGAACTTTGAGCATACATTGGCATTTATTGATTTAGCTGAAACACCAATAACACAATCAATTATGTACTGTATGAGAAAAAGATGCCTTCTCTTTGCAAGCTGAAAAGCAGTACTGATTATGTTTGCCCCAAGAAAAAAATTCACGGAAGTAATATTAGACCAACAAAAGTTATATAATATTTGCAAGCTTTGCTGGGATCAATGTATCTTGAACAAGATGGAAATGATTTTACCAAGTGGAGCTCAGTTGTTCTACCTGATAATGCCCAATTTGCACATTTGGAGACTTTTTCACTCTATATAAAAATGCAAACTAGTACAAACCTGGTTATTTGCTGATCAGATTTGCTTCCATACACAAAGACCTTTTTTCTCTAGGCTTTAAACATCTTGCTTAATGGACCACTCAAAGTAACTTAAACACTTTCAACTATTTTAAGATTTGTGGTGAATCTTGTATAATATATAAACAACTTGAAAGAAGCCTGGAATGGAAACCTCTACTTTTAGGAGAAGATACAATAATGCACTTTCTACCTACCAATGAATTTATCAAGTTCATCATCTTCCCCACGTCTTTTAAGTTTGGTATCCTTTTTAACGATAGTCGTTGATACATTTGGTGAATCGGCTGACCGCTTTCCTTTGCCTCCTTTTCCAGCCTTGGCACTGGCAGGCTTCTCTTTTTCCTTCTCCTTCTTAGGTTTTCCTTTCCCCTTTCCCTTCTCTTCTTTCTCCTTGTCTCGCTCCTCTAAAGCCTGTTAAATTAGAGAAACTGCATCACTATGCTCTTGTAAATGTGAAGGAAAAGTTGTTATAAAGATCTAATCCACGTATCAACATTTTTTTAAAAAAAAAACAATCAAAGCCATATTTCAATTACAGCCCTTTCTTACAGTCGCAGAGAGACAAATTACTATACAGAATCATAGAAGATGCTTATATGGAAAAAGTAATTTTATATCTGCATCTTGAAAGAAATGAAAAATTAAAACCATTATGAAGAAAATGAGTAATGTTTGAGATCTTCCTCACTATCACTGAGAATATTCTTCCTACAGAATACTGAAATATATCTTCCTTGGCAGTTGGCTCATTTGTTGGAACATTATGGAAAATGTTTACTACTCAATACACACACACACACAAACTCATACACAGTTGGAAAGCACTATGTGTTCCTTTTTCTCTTAATGTTCATTTCACAAGTTTCACAAATTTAACAGTTCCTAACCTGCTCCGACAATTTTTAGATATTTTTTTACCTTTCATTCCCATAATAAATATTAGCTCAAATATTAAATATCATCTGAGCATAACTTCAGCTCGTATATGATACCAATTTTACTATTACAATGCCTATGTAGGCTTTATTTGTAACAAATTTTATTGCAAAGTTGAACAAAGGACCGATTGTTGCAGAAAAAAGCCAAAGGTACCTTTAAAAATCTACTTTAAATGCACACATACTTCAAAGTATATGCATATATATAGCAAACAGAATATCCAGTTCCCTATTTGTTCAGATGAGAAGATACCATGGTACTGGAAGTAGGTTAATTTAGTTCAGTATTTTATACTCTGATATTGTCAGGACCCACTTCAACACCTCATCCCAAGAAAGCAGAACTCATGGAAGCAAGCTCTTTCAAAAGGAACTTTTACTAGGAGAAGCTGGTGGCAGGCATACTAGACAGGATCTGAGGGATTCCTTTACAGATCGATAGTTTAAAGTATCCCCAAGCAAACCCCACCCCATAGTTCATCCGGACGGTTCAAACCAGCCAATCCCCAGGTGTTAAGTCCATTGTGGGAAAGGGGAGATAACATCGGTCCGGCTCTGGTTGTAGCAGTGATGTTTAAATGGCTCTTTGCACCTTCTCTTGAGAGCAGTGAGATAAACCCGGCTCCGGAGGTTGCATTTCTTTCTCCCCCCAGCCTTTGCTAGCTGACAGGTTAGGGCACAGGTCGGCAACCTGCGGCCCCGGAGCCACATGCAGCTCTTTGAGCTTTCCCCTGTGGCTCCCAGCCTCCTCTGCCATTTGCAGAGAGAGACAGAGAGAGGCACTTGCACTTCCCTGCTTCTCTCTCTGTCTCTGTCTCTCTGTCTCTCTCTCTGTGTATGTGTGTGTGTGTGTGTGTGTAAAAGAGTGGACTCACGGTGTTCTCCGACAAGTTGAAAAGCTTTTGGGGCGGGGCTCCTCCCTTTGTTGCGTCTCTGCAGGAAGCAGGAACCAGGAATGGCAGGAGAGAGCTAGCTAGCCCACCTATGCTGACTCAGGAATTCTGGGAGTTGAAGTCCATGAGTCATAAAAGAGCTGAGGTTGCCTACCCCTGAGCTTGTTGAAGAACAGCTTGAAGCCAGCTTGCCAGGTAAGCAGAAGATCGGAGAGAGGGAGAGAGAGGGGTGGATATATATATATATATATATATATATATATGAAAGGTAAAAAAGGATATATGCAGTGTTATCTTCCTTTTAGATATCAAAAGGGTTTTGCAGCTCCCAGTGTTTTGTTTTCGGTGGGAAACAGATCCAAGTGGTTCTTTGAGTGTTTTGGGTTGCCTACCCTTGGGTTAGGAAGACGAAATTTCAGAGAGAGAGACCCAGTGCAGGAATGCAAAGTGTTACATTATAGCAATAAAGGAAGCTAAGGCGAAGTGTTACAGTGTAGCGAGAGGGAAAGAAGGCAGGAAAGCAAAGTGCTACATTGTAGCGAAAAAGGAAGCTAAGGCAATAAACCCGCGCTCTGTCCCCCCTCCCCTCTAGGAGTATGGCAGAACCCAGGGAGAGGAGAGAATGGAATCAGGAAGCGAGAGAAAGAGAGGCAGGGAAGTATGAAATACGATAGATGTGGGTTCTGACAGATATATTCAGATGTGCTGCTGTTGGTTGGTTCTCTGAGCTTGCTCTTTAGCTTCTGAACATTTCTTATCAAGCTAGGTGACATCCTCAGGGGGATTTTGGTTCAAGGGTCTTGTTTCAGTTCTTCACCACTTGTATTGATCTCATGTGGTCATGTGGTCAGTGGGTCGCGTGACTGTGTGTCTTTCAATGTCTTTCTCTGTAGGTTGAGGATTTGTGGTCATCTCAGTTGATAGCTAGTCAGTGTTTGTGCATTCTTGTTTTCAGTTGTTATCCTATTTGCCCAACATAGAATTGGTCCCAGTTGTTGCATCTGTTCTTGTAGATTATGTTACTGTTCTCCTTCTGTATTTTGTTCTTGGTTTGAGACAGTTCTCATCCGAGCGTTGATGTTGGTTTGTGAGCCACCATTATTCCCAGTGGTTGTAGAATTCTGGCCGTCATTTCTGATGCTTCTCCAACATATAGTAAAGTACGTTTCCATGTTGTGGTTGGCTGTGTGGTGTGACGGGGTTAGGATGATGTGCATCAGAGTATGACCGGAATATGAAGTTTCTTGGGTAGCTATTGTGGAGAGAGACCTCCAAAAGGTGCTTTTCTTCCGCTTTTCTTAGTGTCTTATTGTCTTGGTGCTGTAATGTGCCCTGGCTCTTCTGAAGAGAGTCTGAACGCAGCTATTCTTGTGTACAGTGGGGTGGCTGCTGACAAAGTTGAGAATTTGATCTGTGTGAGCTGATTTTTGGTAAATGTAGGTTACTGGTTCACCACTATCCAGTCTTCTTATGTCAGCATCAAGGAATGGAAGTTGTTGATCCTTTTCTTCTTTGTGTGTGACCTTGATGCCTGTGAATATGTTACTGAGTAGGTGGTTTCTTCTTCCAGCTTGGAGC